TTGTACGCGCACGCGCTCACGTGCGCGCGCTAATGACGCGAAAATCGTGCGCAGTAGGGATGCGCAATGCAATACTAAGGAATCACCTTAAATTAAAAAAAAAAACAGTAAATGAAAAACCTATTTCGATCAACACAGCTATAGCTCGCTTGAAACGGTTTTTTCATTCCGGTAAGCATTCTCGGATATAAGCCCCTCCGTTTATAATCATCCCTTCTAAAAGCCCTTACGAAGTTGAATAATCCCAGGGCTTATAAGTGGTGGTTAACGGTATCAGTTTGGAGTTCAAGAATTTGGTGAGCACGTTCATCGTACGGTGCATCTTGAGAGGTTTAGCCTAAACGCACGGCACATACTCCTCCTTAAAAAAAATGAAACTCGAATTGTTTTTGCTTGTGAAGTTCTGAAGTTCTCCGGTCTGGGGATATTTTCAACATTCCCTGATTGAGTTTTGGTCCTCTCTTGAGGGAGGTCCAAACCCAAGCCAAACTCACGTACGACGTACGGAAAAAAAATCAGGTTAATCAGTGTTACTTTCGCGGTAATTATTGTCGATTTCGGATGAAATTTCTGTCGATTATTTAATCCGGGGACTGGAGGGTTTCCTTTTTCCTGTGGTCTGTTGTGTTGTAAACTGTTTTGAAAGTGTAATCATGATTATTTTTTATGTCGCATAAGCTCTACACCCTTGTACGGACGAGCAGAGATCAATGTGCCAATCACCACCAAGACAGCAGAGCACGGACTACACCTGTGCATGTGGCCAGACATTGCCGAGCCTCCCTTCTTGCGATAACAACAATAACACATGTGCTATCACTAACGGTACCTGCAGTTTATTTTGCAACGACACAAAGAGTAATTGTCAGTGTCACCAATGTACCTGCGTCGGCGGTTACTCGTTCAACCGCAGCAGTCAATCTTGCGACGACATCGATGAATGTAAGCTAGGTTCGCATGACTGTCAACACACGTGTATCAACAAGGATGGTGATTTCCAGTGTTCTTGTTTGAGCGGGCATAAACTGAAAAACGACAAGAAGTCATGCACCGACCTCGACGAATGCACCATCAACAATGGCGGATGCGACCACGTCTGTGTGAACAGTGTGGGTAGCTATTACTGCAAGTGTAACCGAGGTTGGTCAGCGCACGGACCCACTTGCGTCGACAACGATGAGTGTCAGTCTCAGAACCCTTGTCAACATGTGTGTGTGAACACGCCGGGTAGCTACCGTTGTGGTTGCTTTTCGGGTTACACTCTCTCAGCCGACGGGACACACTGTCAAGATGTCAACGAATGCTCGTCAAATATCGGAGGTTGCGAGTTCTCTTGTTTAAACGTTCCAGGAAGTTTCAAATGCTCGTGTGAACCCGGTTTTCAGCTGACAAATGATGGCAGGACGTGCGAGGACATAGATGAGTGCCAAACTGGCCAATCGGGCTGCCAACATCTTTGCGTGAACATGCCTGGAATGTTCAACTGTTCTTGTTTAGATGGCTTTCAGCTTCAACAAGACGAAACTTCTTGTGCGGACATAGACGAGTGTCAACTCGATCAACATGACTGCCAACAAGTGTGCAACAATTATGAAGGTAGTTACAACTGCTCGTGTTTCCTTGGTTACGAACTTTCAGCTGATGGCAGAAACTGTACTGATGTAGACGAATGTTTGCACGATAATGGTGAGTGTTCCCAAGTATGTGTCAACACGCCAGGCAGTCATAATTGTGCTTGTAGAAATGGGTACCGGATCGCGTTTGATGAACAGAATTGCAACGATAGCTTCAGCTGTAACGTTGGCGAGTCATGTCACGAAAATTGCTCGGAAACAAATTGCGAAGACGTGAACGAGTGCGAAAATAGCGAGCTTTGTGATCACATGTGCTACAATACAGATGGCAGCTACTATTGCTCGTGTTATGAAGGGTACCAGCTAGCAGCTGATGGCAGATCTTGTGAAGACGTCGACGAGTGTCAGCGGAGTGTAAGCATGCTTTGCATCAGTTGCAAAAACACGCCCGGTGACTTTCACTGCACATGCGCCAACGGATATTCTTTCAACAAAGCTGATTTTATTTGCGAGGGTAAGACTGACTAAAATAACTTCAGACTAGTGAAACCATTATTATGGAAAACTTTAGACTAAATTGATGGACTAGCATTCCATCCATAGTAGCCTCGATGAAAGTAAAGTAAAGTATTTATCCTAATTATTTTGGGGGGGTATACTAATAGATATAACTGCTTTTCCATCTTTAGTTTTTCTCTCTTTTTTGCAGAGAAAAAGCCACTGAAAGTGACCCTCACAGAAGGAAAGCAAAGAATAGCGGTAAGACTTGATGGCTATATAAAAAATTTAATGATTTAAATAACAGCATCCATTCCACAGTCTTTTAAATACTGTTGATGTCACTTGATCTCTCTTGCTTAGTAGTTTTTAATCTTCATAACTCTATTGTCGTCAAACTTGGTGAAGGAGTTTTCTTGTTTTCCCACAATCACCCAAAACCCACCATTCCAGCCACTGGGTCACTCACTAACTCGCTCGCTCACTTGCTTTGTTTCCGCAGCAAGCTGCGGATGTCGCCACTGTGATTAAAGCAACCAAACACATTGCAGATGAAGTGAATGGTTTGAAGAAAATGAGCAGCGAGGAACTGACCCAGACAGTAGATGTGCTTCAAAATGTGAAGGAAAAGATTCAGAATTTCAACACCAGTAAAAAAGAAGCCGGAGAGCTAATAACGGTACGAGAGCGATCAGTTGAAGCAAGTGTTCTAATGCATTTCGGCCTCGTCCACACCACGCCGGAGGAAAGCAGCTTTATTTCTACGGTTAGGCCTACCGTCCACACTGATCCGTCACGAAAACGGAGCTTTTCGAAAACGTTCTTCAAACCCGGGAAAGTTGAAAACGCCGGCTTTGCGTTTTAACGTGGACGGAACACGTTTTGAAAAAGGAGTTTTTCGGAAACATTGACCTCACTATAATAACGTGATTTCCCTGCCAGGGTTTTCCTCGAACACAAATCCAAAATGACCGGTGATTGCTGTGTTTTCAAATTTCTCCGGCGTAGCGTGGACGGAAAACATTTGATGCGTTTTCAGAGTGAAACCTCCGTTTACGAATTCCTTTGACGCAGTGTGGGCGGAGCCTAACATATCATAATATTCGGTTTTTGTGTTATTCAGTTGGGGACAGAGGGTTTCCATGACAATTTGATGAATGACAATGCTGATTTCTTGTGTACTGTCCACTAGGGTGTCAGTGAGGTCGTAAGTTCCATGATGAACAAAGACAACAGGTTGCCATGGAAACAACTCGAGGAGACCGAGGTAAGCTTCCCACCTTTCCATTCAACTTCGATCGCATCTTGTGTGAAATCCTAACTGATTCGCTAAGTTAAAACTCACACCCTACTTTTGTCTCGCTGCACTTAGCTTTCAGTTTAACAATACATAGCTCCTCTTACATCAGCTGATCAGTGGCCAGGCAAGCACTGTGAAAGCACTGTCATCTGACACAATTATTGGTTTGCTTCAGCGTTTCGTGTCCTTTTAAAAACAAAATGCCGAATCAAAAATCTTGTGGCTAATATCTTTTAAATTGAAATTGCAATGGACAACGAGCCTGAATGTAATACTGAGCCAAAATCATTTCGCCTCACATAACAGGGAACATCTCCAGTTGCCGTTATCCCTGTAGTATTGGAAGATGTGGTTCCTGCAATATTACAGTCACTGGACGAGGAAGCAAACGACGAGCTAAGCATGTTCATATCGACGGACAATTTAGGTAACAGATTTCATTTTTATCTTAACTTCGTTAAATGTGAGCAATTAAGAATTTCGCTCAATTCAGCATTTTAATTCGCACGTAATTAAGGTGTACTCTTTTGTCTTTACGACTGCGTGGTCTCAAGTAATCCCAAAGAACAACGCAGAAAAACAGCTTTTTTAGGAACTAATAATTTTGAATCATCAAAATAAGGCTGTTAGTTCTGCGGAGGCGATCTAAGTTTGACGGAAAGGGAAGCTGATTATTTCGCCGCATTAGTGTCCCGTATCCAGACAGACATGTGCAACTACACGACGAACGAGCGGCTTGTCCTGAACACCTCCAACTTCGGTTGGTGAAAGCTATGGGTTTCATGTTACGTTGTAGCCAGCCTGATGAAACAGTTTTTGAGACGGGTCGTTATCTATTTCACAGATATGCAACTAAACGCTCAGAGCAGACAGAACTTTCAAGGTGTGACAACCCCAACTGTGACATCCAACCACGTAAAACTACCGAGTTCAACTGTGAGAGACAGAAATGACAACGGTAAGCTGAAGTAAAAGTTACCTTGTTCATCAATTCTTGTTTTACGTCCTGGTTTTGACTTTTAGCCGTGGAATCAAGGGCATTTTTTTCTTCCATCTCAGATACCGTGGGAATGTCTATTGCCTTTCTTAAAGGAATGACGAACGTTTTACCTAACAATAAAAGTGAAGGAAGGTAAATAAATAAATATTTATAATATTTAAAGAGGAATAACGCGGGTCCTCTATCCTGGTCGAATTGGAATTTGAAGACGTTAGTTTTTTGTGGAGGGGAAAAACCGGGTACCAACAATGCAACAAACTGACACGCGGGTCGGAATCGACGCCGGGTTACATTGGTGAGAGGCGAGCGCTCTCGCCACTACGCCAACCCTGCTCCCCCAAAAGGTAATAGCCTAAGGTGGTTACCGTGTGATTCAGTGTTGTACATAACAGATATCTAACAATATAAGTTAGTTTGTCATATTTGGAGTAAACTGTCAAGAAGACTCGACACTCTGCAGAAACCGCGTACGCTGTTGTGGCGCCTTATCTTAGCAATTCCAGGTCTTACTAATTTCGTCTCACCGTATAATAGATGGTACTAAACACCCTTCCATCCTCAACGTCCTTAGATAAATTTCAGGAAAGCTAAGTACAATATTACTATTAAACATTCTCTTTTCTCTTTTCACATCAAAAAGCAGCAACTTAAATTCGATTATTGTCACCGTCATGGTGACGAATGTGGAGCCGAAGCATCTCGCCAACCTAAAGGAACCAGTCATTTTACGATTCGAACATTTAAAGGTAAAATAAGATAAACAACCACTGTTGCTGAAACGGATTATCATTAAATTATTGAATTTAGTTGAAAACAAGGAAAGACTTAAAGTAGTATCAGCCATTTCCGGGATTTTTCGAATTTGTCGCAGTCACCATGAAGTTGTCCGCTTGGCAGCGACTTCTTTTTGATAATACCAGTTTCTCTCTACGAGACGCACCTGCAAGGAATCTTGGTAGTAGTACGTAATCTTGTAGAATGCAACTACCATGACTGCCTGTATGCGGGCGCGTCTTACAGAAGAATCTTTGTTTACAATCTTGTTTGCCTCGTTAGCATAAGCGATACAGTTTCTGATGGAGCTACAAAAAAATTGGTTTTGAATATGGAAAGGGCACGGCACAATTTACTGTCCCAAGGAATTTGAGCCCGATGTATTCAATATTTTTTGTGCAAAGAACTCAAAATTTTACAACGTAAGTATGAGCTCTTTAGCGTTTTTGCCAACCAGATGTTTTGCAATTTCTGAAAGCCAATTTCTCCTAAATGTTACACCCAAAGAGCCAAAAATTTAACCAATTACTAAGTTTCACAAGCTCTTTGAATGTTGTAGACAATTCGTGTCCAGCATGATGTAGAGTTGATCCCGAAGAATTGTCATGGGAAGCAAAGCCCTAGTTTGGTTTCGTGTTTTATGGTCTTTAAGCTGTGACCCCCGGTTAACAGTGCTCTATATGAAGAAGTCAATTTCTAGTTTTCTTCCCTTGCAGAAAGATTCTTATGAACCTCAATGCAGCTTTTTGAATGAAACAGCCCTGTAAGTATAAGCTTTTAGAGTTGAAATGATTGGGAACTGAGGTGGGAATTAACAACAACAAGTCCGCATTTTAAACTTTGCATGGACGATATATAGCTGAGGACTAACTGAATTTTTTATTTTTATTTTATTGCAAAAAATACTCTTTTTACTCGGAAATGGTAACTGTTAACCACAGGNTTATAAAGCTGCGTTCAAATTCCTCCGGTGTAATGTGGACGGCGCCTGAACAGTTCTTGGATTTACGTATGACATTCGCACAGGTTACCCTAAACTTCTCTTTCAACAGATCGTACTTCCCAAGAGATCCTTCAAAGCACTGGTCTAATGTAGGATGTCATAAGAACCAATCTACAGAGCGATACACCATCTGTCATTGTTATCATCTCACAAGCTATGGCCTCATCATGGATGTTCACGGCATTTATGTAAGAAAAACTCTTGCACCTGGGGGGTGGGGTACTCGACAAAGTTTTCTATGGGGAGGCTATGCCTCGACGTCCAACCCCTTACCTCTTCGTACACCATTTTGACAAAGAAGGTACCCTTTTCGCATACCTTTAATTAAAAGAAGGTAGCCCTTTTACATGCTTTCATAAGCGGCCAGTAAATATGAAAAAATCCCCCAAAAAAGGAAATCTTTTTGTCGTTTTCATGTAGTGCTCAATAAATTAAATGATACAGTCATAAGGCGCTTCTGTTCGAAATATTCTGATTAAAGACCCTTTTAATATTAAAAATTACAGAACTCCCTACCCTTTCTTATACCTCAACTTGTGAAATCCCTGCCCTTTTATATACCTGAGACCTGTTAAAGGTACCANAAAATCCCCCAAAAAAGGAAATCTTTTTGTCGTTTTCATGTAGTGCTCAATAAATTAAATGATACAGTCATAAGGTGCTTCTGTTCGAAATATTCTGATTAAAGACCCTTTAAATATTAAAAATTACAGAACTCCCTACCCTTTCTTATACCTCAACTTGTGAAATCCCTGCCCTTTTATATACCTGAGACCTGTTAAAGGTACCACTTTTCGGGGGAGCCTCTTCGTATAGGCCATTATAAGGAGTACCCCCCGCCCCCCACAACCCCGAGCTCGTACAACGCCTCATTCTATGTTTCATAGTTATTGCTTCTCCGTTTTTTCCGCCAACTCATGGCTGCCGTAATGATTTATTTCCAGGACGAGCTGGGTGATACTCACAAGGAAACACTCAAGTACATTTCCCTGGTTGGCTGCTGTGTTTCCATTTTCTTTTGCATCCTTTCAGTGCTGGGATTCTCATTTGCAATGTAAGGCACTTTGAAAATGATACAGAAGCGTATTACATTACTAGAAAAACATTTCGGACGATTGTAATTTCGGACAGAAAAGCGTACGAAAATAAAATCGTCCGAAAGTTTTTTAAAAGCGTTCGAAATATTTACGTTTCAGTATAAACCTTGAAATAGTTCCGAAGCCGCTAGTTTTTTTTTTCTTTTTTTTTTTGATGGAGTGAACTCTAGCTGAGACACTCCTCGTGATACGTAACGGCTTGAAATAATTTTTCTTATTTTCACGTCGGTGTATCTATAAACCTCAAGGGTGCAGTAAAACTATCATTTTCACAGACGTTATTTCAGTCTAAAACGTATTTTGTAGGCGTAAACTTACGTTAGCTATGTTTAATTTGTCTGAAGTAAGATTAAGTGTTTGGAATAGAACGTGCGAAATTGTTTACACGTAATTGCTATATGCAACAGTGATGTACCCCATGTTTGCATTTTTAAATTTATTTTTTTTTTATTCGTTAGGAGAAAACCACGCGAAAAGAAAGCTCGTCGAGAGACATACTGTCTTCATATCAATCTGGTTCTGGCGATCTGCTTATCACAAATTTGCTTTGTCATCGGAACCTTTATCATTTCTGTTAATGTGGTATGTATAATTCCTTCGGGTGGTTTTTAACCGAAACAATTTCAACGTATCTGCGTTAAACTAGTCGGTGCTATTATGTATAATGCCCATTTATGCAACATAAACGAATTAACAAGCAGGAAACTGAGACCAAATTTATAATAACGCCAACTGCAAAGGGTTTTAATAACCTATTTCAACTTTCAAGAAAGCTCTTTGAGATTTCCATTGGTGGTTAAAATCCAATTTTGCCTTACAATAATGATACCAGGAAGACCCCATATAAAAAAGGACTGACATGCTCGTCGGATGTTTTGAAAACAATCCCTAAGAGGTACCAAGATCCTGCTTTCTGGGCATGGCTTGAAATTTTTTCATCCTTAAGAAGTACCAATTCTAAAGCAATACCCTAAACGGTAACGCAAAAGCTCTCTCTGTGGACCTTTCAAGGCTGACCACCCTAAGAGGTCCCCCCCGGTAATGATGCACTGTCAAACCGACAAATCACAATCTAGGAAATAATGTCTTGGTGAAGGACCAAATTCTCAGAACTGTACCTGTTCCAGTCTTCTCAGTGATGTGTCACATAAGGCCAAGATTCTCATAACTGGCAATCTGTGTAAGTTCAGTTCTAACTCGAAATTGGGAGAGTTCCACGGATAACACATTTTTCTGCCATTTTGTCTCAGCTTGCTTGCCGGATAGTTTCCATAGCAACCCATTACTTCCTAAGTGCTTCATTCTGTTGGATGTTGGCCGAGGGAATCCACATTTATAACAAGATTGTACGAGTGTTTAGCAACAAAAAGTACAGCAGGGTGTTCTACGTACTGGGATGGGGTAAGATTTTTAACAACTCCTTCTGCAAGTGATTTTCTATTGTAGAGTGTTATTTACTTATTTAAAATAAAAGGATATATTTTACTTGCAAAAAATTTCGGCGATTTTAATTTCGGGGTAAAAGAGTGTCCGAAAATAACACAGTCGATCACTTTTTAAGCGTCGGAAGTATTTACAGTACAGTATAAATCTTTAAAATAGCTCCAAAGCCGCTAGTTTCCTTTATGGAGCGAACTATAGTTGAGACACTACTTGAGATTTGTAACGACTTCATAGTGTTTTTGTTATTTTCCCGACGGTGTATTTGTAAACCTTGAGGGTGCAGAGGGTAGAAGAGTTTTCAGAGTTGTTGTCTCAGTCAAAAACGTGTTTTGTAGGCGTAAATTTACGTTAGCTATGTTTCAGCAAATTGTCCGAAATTTTTGTCCAAAATTTGTACGACATAATGCGTCCGAAATTTTTTAAAAGAAATGTGTGTCTCGTTATGTTTCAGTAATTAGTTTCTCGCAACGAGTTTCGAAATTTCAAACCAATAACTACCAAGATGGAAAATCACCGAGGAACAAGTGGGAAACGTTCAGACGGACTTGTGCCATATATAGTTTCCAGTACTCGCTTTTAAAGACAATCAGGGAAACAAGGGAAAATGCCAGTTTCCAACTGGACATAATTTGGAGAAACAAATATCTGAACTGTTTCAAATTTTTAAAACATTCCAGTGATTAAAAGAATATATATATTTCAATGTATTTCGATTTGTTTTAAGACTAGTTATATTTTATTCCACATATTTTCCACTCTGCTAACCAATAAGATGATATCTCTCTTATTGTTTGCAATGTTTTTCTTTCATTAGGGGGTCCTGTCCTTCTTGTGTCAGCTTCTACTGGAATTTCCTTCCACGAATATGGACCTCATGACATGTAATAAATGATTCTGATTCTACAGATCAGTCTTTAATTCAGAGTAAAGGCAGTTGAATTAAAGTGGTAGTTGTTTTCTTTGACTAGCCGTTGCATTTTGTTAGTTTAACAGAGCAGGCACAATGGTACAAAGCATTTAAATTCACGTGTAGTTGTTTAAGATGATAATTGTCTTGTTATTTTTTTCTCAGCTGTTGGTTGTCTGGCAAACTAATTTGGGTCTTTGCTGCACCAGTGTTAGCAGTTATAGCGGTTAGTAAATGTTTCAATTTCTTAAAAGGTTAATATTAGGAGGATTTCAGTGAATTTTCAACGGTTACAAATGTCTTACAATTCTTATTATCGATAATTATTAATCACAAGTACTCATTACTGACTAATTAAAAGAAATGAAACTATATTTTAAAAATATCTTAACTGAGTTCTTTCTCTAGACTTTGTCTTAATTGTTAATCTCCTTCGGTTGTGTTGTTCTATTCAAATATCTTTCTGTATATTTTCTTCCAGATCAATTGTTTCATTCTTGTCAGTGTTATCTATGTTTTATTAAAGAAGACCATGGTGAAAGCAGGAGGTGAAAACTCTAGCAGGAAATCAAACACGAGGTAAAAACTAAAACGACGTTTTTGAACACGTTTTTTATTGTTGTCACTGGATCGTGGCTTCTAGTAACCAATTTGGTATAAAAACTCATGAAAGTGACAAAAAGTAAAGCTGTGTGGTGGCTTAACGTCAATAAAAAAAGTTGTTTTTTACAATAACAAATTGTCAAATTGTCCGCTCTCGCTCGTTGACGTATCGCATAAATTAGAAATTTGTGTGTCTGTCCGCTTATTGACAATGAGAATTGGCCAATGAGCTCGCGAGAGTTTTTGCAGTTATCGTAAAAAAAATGCGTTGGGCGCGGTTAATTTTGCTTATGATATCTGTTCGTCCGTCCGTCCGATTTATATTTATCTTTTCTCTGTCTCACGCGCAGGCGCAGTATGAAGGTGACGGTTGTGTTACTTCCGTTGCTTGGCCTCACTTGGGTGTTCGGGTTTATGGCGGTCGACAAGAATACCATCTTTTTCCACTATATCTTCGCCATCGCCAACTCGTTGCAGGTATTTTTTTCAAATTTCCTTGACACCGAGCGTAAAAGACTGTTAACCTTGCGATTCCTTTTTCCCAAAGCACTGAAGGATTCAAAATAGCATTTAATAATAGCTCATGTTAACAAAAATTCCCTGTTTCTTTCATTGTGGCTTCTAGTAACCAATATGGCATCAAAACTCTGAAAGTGGCAAAGAGTAAAGTTGTGTGGTGGCTTAACGTCGGTAAAAAGAAAATAAGTTACTCTCACTGATCTGACTGATTTTCCAACATTGCATTGATATAACCAGGCTGATTCAAAAGTGGTCGCTTAAGTTAAAGAAGTTAGAGTACCGATTGAAAAAATACATGTACCTGGCTGCAAAGTATTTTCTACTCTTTTGCCCTCGGCCACTGAATAACTCTTACAAACAGAAAAGCAAATTTCTTATCATGACCCCCTCGATCAAGTTATCTCCGACAGAACCATCTATGAAAAATCTGGTGAGTAGTCGTAAGGCTTTTCGCCTCCCTAAGATTTAGATTGTTTAAAACTTATTTTGTTTCAATGTCAAAACATTTTTATTAGTAAACGTACCTGCAGGGTAACCTTAAAAATTTGCTCTTTTTCTTCGTAGGGAGTTTTTATCTTCTTCGCACACTGTTGGATAAACGACTCGGTAAGAAATATCTCTGTATAAATAGCTCGTCCCTCCATTTGTTTGGTGAACCTGACAGAATGCTGAGATCACGCAGCTTGCGATGAAATAGCATTCCATCCCGAGGGAAGTTACTTGTTTCATGCTATGAAGCCAGGATGAGCCCCGAAAGTGTGGGACATCTTACAACTAAGCTCTTGTTAGAGGATAAACTATGAATAGGATTTCGATTCGTCAAAGCCCTTGAACACTATCCTCAGTATATTGTCATCAATAGACAAGAGTCGTTTCTTTCATTATGCTTCCCTCCACCCCAGTTAAACAATAGACACTGACTAGATGTTGGCATGGGGTAACCAGAAACGGAAATTCTGGCGTCTGAAACGAAATATTTCTATCATATGCAGCTGAAGTATCACTATTCCTAGTCTCTTCATGCAACACTGAACTCTGGGCGGAATTTATGGACAATCTGACATTTGGGGCCACAAGGTTCGGAAAAAGACCTTTCAACTCATCTGACCAATCACAACAAAACAAAAGCTCGAAGCAAAACTTTTCTGCCTTTGTACCTTTGGCTTTTAGCCCCTGGAGGACTCTGGTATGAAAAAAACGGGGATATTAGGGGTTAAAAAAGCGGTTTTAGTACCTCTTAGAGCCAAAGCAGGAGCAATTGAGCTTCCTTTTAGGGTACTGAGCAGGAAAAAATTTGACAGGAGATATTTGAAAATCAACTGACTTTTAATTTTGTCTCAGAATTGTTTCCTCTTAGGGGTGAAAATTTCAAGCCACGCCCACGAAATAAGATCTTGCTATCTCTTAGGGGTTCTTTCCAAAATTTCCGAAGAGTGCCCCTTCATTTTTATATGGGAATTTCCCCTCCCCGGGTTTGTGGCTCAGCTTGGTGATTTGTTACAGTTTGACCAGTGCAAACCAAAACAAAACAATAATAATTTTGTTTTTCTGTTACTCTTAGGTACGCGAATCTCTCATCGAAAAATTCCCGAGCTTGAAAAGGAAGAGGAAATACGTGGTTGAAACAAAACAGAGTGAACACCGTGACAGCAGCGTGTCCCTTGAAACAGCAACAGCAACAGCAACTACGAATTCAGTCCGTCTGGTAACTGTCAACAAGTCTCTAACTGGTTCCCGAAAGAACAACGAGCCACCTCCGTTAAAGCTCGTTAACTTAGAGCAAGAACTGGCGACAAGTCGAGAGGATTCGTTCGATGACAACTCTGTGAGGCTTACAAACCTAGCCAAGTTACCGTCAAAGTATGCCGACGTGTTTGACGTACCGGCCTCAAAGCTTTTCAGCGTAAATAAACCACCAATGAGAGGTCAGGAAATGTTAGCGCCAACTTCGGTGAACCTCAGCCGTCCCGAAGAGTATCCGATTACGCCGAGAGAGGCCTACGACAATCCGACGTTTGCTTTTTGGAGAGGTCAAAAATGAGTTGACGTGAAATATGCGTGATCATGAATTGGATAATCTCGTATGAAAAGACTGACTTTAGTTTGAAAATTCATTTGTTGTCACATTGTGAGTCCCTTATATTTAAAACATTTGCAGCAGTTTAGGTATATTGATATTTTTATGTCTCAAAGTGCTAATACATTATATGTTTAATTTTATTGTTGGAACTGCCACAGCGGTGGATATATTTAACCTTATTTACGAAGAGAGTACTGACGGATATTACTTGTAAATGTGAGTCAAAGAAAATGAAATGAGTTTCGTGAATGAGGAATGTTGCTGTCTGAAATAACTTCAAAGTTGCATCAACCATGAACCCGATGAATTATGCATGAACGTTGTCAGCCATATGTCCACGTGAACTAAATTTAAGGCCAATTGAAATTGCAGTCCAGTCTTCTAATGCAGAGAAATAGGGTCCTGACAATATTCTTAGTCGTGGAACTCTAGAGCGTTTCCCGCGAAAAATACACTAGCTAATTCAGGCGCCGCCCACCCACAGTACTCTGGAGGAATTTGAGGTTTCGCTCTGAAAACGCATCAAATGTTTCCCGTCCACAC